CCACAAATGTGATCCTTAAAGATTTTTTACAGAGTTTTCCCAAGGATGGAGGTGAGACTAACTGGCCTATAGTTTCCTGGTTCCTACCTCCTCCCCATCTTGAAAATAGGGACCACACAATGGCCCTTTTCCAGTCCTCTTGGAGCTGATCAGAGCAGCACAGGTGCTCAAACAGCTGTGCCAGTGGCTCTGCTATGACACTGGCCAATTCCTTCAGCACCCTTGGATGAAGTTCACTCAGGCCTGCTGATTTGAACACATCCAGCCCCTTCAAGTGACCCTTCACTAAGGTTGCGCTAACTGTTGGTAGGCTGGTGTCCCTCCTGTGTCTACCTATGATCCAACTGGGAGATTTGTCTTGATCTGTCTAGGAATACAGATGAAAAGAACTCATTGAAGAGCTGAGCTCTTCCCCCCTGTCACCAATTGCCCTAGTTTGTCCTGTAGGGGTTGTATGCTAACCTGCACCTTCCTTTTGCTCCCTATATGACTGAAAAAGGACATTTTGTTGTCCTTAATTATTGTCTAATTTGGCCCCATGGACTTGTACACATCCAGCTTTTGTCTCTAACGTGTTCTTTCACCATTGAGGGCTGCTGATCTCCCTCCCCAAACTGTGCTACCTGGTGCAGTAGTCTGGGAGCTGACCTTGCCTGTGAAGACCGAGGTAAAAAAGGCATTAAGTACTTCAGCCTTTTCCTCATCTTCTGTCACTAGGTTGTCTCTCTCATTCAGTAAGGGACCCACACTATCCCTGACCTTTCCCTTGTTGCTAACATACTTGTAGAAACCCTTGTTGTTTCCCTTCACATCCCTTGCTAGCTGCAACTCCAGTTGCACTTTGGCCTTCCTGACTTCATCCCTACATGCCCGAGCAATATTCTTATACTCCTCCCTAGTTGTATGCCCAAGGTTCCACTTCTTGTAATCTTCTTTAAGGCAAAACCATGTTTAAAATAAAAGAGGTCTATATAATCTTCTGCTCGAGTTCTAGATTTGCAGAAAGATCTTCGAAAAAAAATTGAGTTTTGCCCAGCCATATTGCTATGACCAGGGATCTGGGTTTTCCGTTTGTCATGGAAAATCACAGTAAAACCAAGATTTTCTCATTTTAGGGAGAAAACCCCAGATTTCCTCCTTTAAAGGAGAAAAACATGGGAAACAGTTGGTTTCCCCTTGCAGGCTGGCAAAGTTCCAGCCTGCAAGGGGTTGTGGGGAGTGGGAGGAGGGTGGTTAGGCAGGGGGGCGCCATGTTCATGTATGCACATACACGTGCACATGGCCACCAGGCAGCCTGGGTAGCAGCTCCCTGCAGGTAAGTGTGGTGGGGGAAGGAGGTGGGGATTGAGGCCCCCATAGTGAGGAAGGAAGGGAGGGAGTAAGGCAGGGCTGGGGCTTGGGTTGCTGGCCAGCCAGGGTGGTGCTTGGGGCCTGGGGCCTATGGCTGGAATGTGCAGCTGCAGGGCCTGGATGGGGAGTGGGATGGAGCTGCAGGTGGTTCATCCATGGGGCAGGGAAGGGAGAGGGGTTGGCTCCCCACTGCAACATGTACTCCCAAGGGGACAATGAGGGGCATGTGCCCCCCAGATTTGTGCATGGCCAGGTGTGTGCTGCCCATTGTGAGCTCAGGGCTCTCTGGCTTGCTGTTCCCCCCCCACCCCTCTGGGGCCTCCATGGCCAAGCAGGCAAGACCCAGCATAGCAGGGCAGAGTCGGGAAGATCAGTGCCACTGCTGCAAGCCCTGTGCTGCCATGGTGCAGCACCCCCTGCCTGCCCGACAGCAGCAGCGGGCATAACTCTGTGCTGCCACCCCTGCTGCTGTAGGGGCAGGTAGGTAGCACTGTGCCATGGCAGCATGCGGCTCCTGGGAGCAGCATTGAGCTTCCCCACCTGGTCCTGCTCTGCCCTGCTGTGCCAGGTCCCACCTGCTGCATTGCAGAGGCCCTGGGGTGGATGGCAGCAGGGCAGGGAGTCCAAAGCTCCCCCCCACAAGGCCTCCACACCGGTCATGCCAGCCATGGGGGAGAGGGAGCCAGGCTCCATGTTCTGCTCTGCTGCAGCAGCTGCTACCTCCTGTGGGCACTGGCCCAGGCTCAGGCACTGTTGTTTGGGGCAGGGGGTTATGGACCCAGGTCCCTTGCCCCATAGCCCTGGCAGCTGTGAGCTGCCAGCTGGGAGGCCAGGGGCTGTGGGTGGGGAGTGAGGGGCACCAGAAGGGCTGGGGCGTTGTGGGTTGGAAGTAAGGGGCAATGGCATAGGCAGGGCAGTGGCGTAACAGGGCTACTCAGCACCACAAAGCACAGTAGTGGGGGAGAGGGGGACACCTGCCGCTGGATCCATGTCCTGGTGAGTGAAGGGGGCAGAGGGAGCTCTGATTTTCTATGATAAAAAACCCAAAATCAAACGTTAAAACGTATAAGCATTTAGAATGTATTTTATTACAGTGGTTGAGGCACTGGTAGGCTTCCAAATTGCTTTAACATTGTAAATGTATCAATAAAACATTGTGTTCAACTGATACTTATATATATAGTGGTGTTTAATTTTAATCACGGAAAACCGTGGATCTGGGGGTTTTTAATCAAAGAATTTGTTATTTATAATTGAATCTGCAATTTTTAAACCGAGAAAACCAGGATTCTTGGCTATGACTCTTGATCCAATGGGCATCTTTACAAATGTTCCGGCTCTTGGGAGCTGCTCTAATTAAAGCACCTGCAGCATCACATGCATTCAGCGTCCCACGCTTGAACATGGCAGCAGAGATGCTTTAACTAAGGCTCGTTGAAAGAGGTTTAGTTAAAGTGCCCCTACCGCCATTTTGAAATGCGGGACACTGAATACACCTTACATTGTAGGTGCTTTAATTAGAGCCCCTTCCAAGAGCTGGAGCATGTGTAAAGATGACCATTGGGTCAACAGTCATAGCAATAAGGCTGGGCAAAACTCCATTTTCTAAAAAGATCGTTCTGCAAATCCAGAACTCAAAGAGCAGAAGAGTATACAGACCTCTTTTATTTTAAATATGGTTTTGCCTTGGAACAGCACTCTACAAAAAAATTGAAAAATGATTTTTTAAAAGAAACAGTTCCAGTTAAAACATATTAATTTTTCTTGTCCTTAAGAATAGTTTGACTCAATAGTACTGAACTTTACATTAGCAACACTGAAAAAAGGTATTACATAATAAAGATTCAGCTAAATCTTTCTTAGCAACCTCCTTTCATATTAGACAACAATATATATAAATGATTAAATGAGTCACCAACATTAAGCAGCAGAAAATTAAATTAGGGATTCATGTAAAGATATTTGTATAACCAATTCCATAGCAAACAAACAAATTTCCTTAATTTTGGTCACTTGGCTATTCACAAACTAGGGCCTTGTTACACATTACACTATGCGCTGCTCAAATGTTGATTGGTGTTAGTGCTAGCTTGGGTTTGGAGCAGTCACACGTTCAGGCCTTCAGGGGCCTGGAGGACTGAATGGTAAAGATCGCTCCCCCCCTACCCCATTCTGGGCTTCCCTCCACCCTCACCTCCCCTGCGCTCTGCACCCCAGGGCTCTCCCTGTTTCCCCCTGTCCTCAGGGTTCTCCCCCACTTAGATGTGGCTGTCTGTCCCAGGGGATAGGCCCAGAGAGCAGTAGCAGCAGTGGCTGGGCAGATAGCTTAACCCCTCCCTGTCTGCTCCCATGGGACAGACAGAATGGGCAGCCACAAGTAAGCAAGGTGCGGGGTGGGAAAGAAGGGCAGGAGGCACCAGTGAGCAGGGATTTAAGGTGCTGGGGAGCAATGTGGGGGTGGGGTCAGTGGGCCCAATCTGGGCCAGCAGGGGAAGAGAAGAAGGTGGGGTGTTTACACTAACATGTAGTCTAGACTACTACACATTAGTGTAACATGATCTGGGTAACACGGATCAGAGATAAACCTAGGCTTGACTGGCATAACTTTAAGCCACCTAAAGTGTGATTAAAACTAGTTTCAGGTATTAATGTGGACAATCCAGGGTTTAAGAGTTCCAGGAGTCACCTAAAATTAACGTGTAACAAGGTCCTAAACCAGCAAAGCTTTCTAAACAAAAAGCAAAAGCCCTTGTGGCTAGAAAAAAACAATTAAAATAGTGTAAATGTATTTAATTTATAAATAAGATGCTATATGTACATTCTTCCACTTAAAAAAGGGGGTATATACTATAAAACCAGAATTGTTTAATTCATCTTAATCCAGGAATATATATTAATTGTTAGCCTTCAGGATTACAGTCTCCAATCTCTGAGAGGCAAGAGAGAAAGATATTACTGAAAATGAAGAAAAGCCTATTGTTAATTTATGCTTTGTCTGTTGGAAAAGATTTTACCAGTTATATTCCCATAACTGTATCAATATAACACTCTCCTCTAGTCACTTTTATTCCATTATGAAAGTGTCTTTTTTTGTTTAGCTTAAATCCCTTTTCAAGTGATGCATAGTAAAACAAAAGATGTACTAGAATAAAAACATCTATGTAGATTGTTTGTGTCATATATATACACATGTATCTATTTAAATTCATCTCTCTCCTTTAGAGACAAGTCACTGGAACAGATGACCCTTTATATTTTAATTTGTAAAGACAAGATAAGAGCTTGTTGTACATGTCAAGTATTTTACATTGCCTAAATTTGTCATCCATTTTCTTATTCATTTATCTGTTTTTGAACTTACAATTCCATTAAGTCTGGAAGGTATATGTCTAATTAGTATTCATATCTGTTTTAAGTACTTAAAAAAAAGTAAAGCAATACAGTCCTATTTGAAGTCAACTGAAATGATGAAAAAACTGGGTATGTTCTTCCATAAGCACTTCAATAGTCATTCATCTTATTATAGAGAAAATTTATCTTGCTAGTGTGAAAAGATGGTTTCAAACATCTAAGCAACTGAAATTTCATTGAAATCTTCATCTTAATTACTGAAACCAGATAAAGGTATTCATAAACCCCTTTATTTTTACCTGGTCATTCCATGAAAAATCAGGAGTGATGTTCAGTCTAACTCGGAGTACAGTGCGCGTAATTGGTTGAATAGTTGCTTCCATTGTAATGGAGGGAATTTGATGGACGCATTGTTTGACCTTTAAACCAATTTTCACATGATGCAGCATGTGACCTGTAAAGAAAACATCAGGTATTAACAAATTTGCATTTACAGGACAAAATAATACAAATCATACTTTTAAATAGGGTTTGAGAGAGGGATATTATTCCTTGCTTTTGTTGTTCAGTGTGTAAATGACTGACCCTCTTGACCTGGCATGTCTGAATATTTTGTAATATTTAACTTGAATTAGCAATTTACAGCTCAGAAAAATCAGTATTAACCCCTCTACTGGCTATTACCAATGGGTTAAAATAATGATTAAGAATTCACAAGCCAAGTCCATCCTTTCTTTCAATTACTTTTTTGACCATGCACTTAGAAAGCTATATAATTCCTTCTATAAACATGAATACTGACCTTTATTTAATGAAAGATACATATTTGAGCATTTACAACCCCAGGATATAAAGATTCAAAGTACAGGGAATCTTGTGTTTTTATGAAGATGAATGAAGGTAGCCAGTGGCCTAAAAAAGCATAGATACAGTAAATATATCTCGTAGTGGCTTTGATCATTTTGGAACATAACAATGAGGGATGGAGGCAAGGGAAAGACTGATGTTCTGGAACATCTCATCTTCTACTACACTCCTGATTACTGAGGTAAGAAAGGGATTATATTCTTAGAAAAGAATTTCTTGTTCATGTTTTACAATTCAGACATCTATTCCCTTCCTCTCGGGATGTATCACACAAAATACACTGGTTAATAGTGGGGGCCAGGGGCTGGCAATCTTTGTAAGCCATTGGCCAGAACAACCCAGCCCCAGTCTAGTGTAGGTCAGGTGGCTTGGCAGCATGTCAGCAACTGTACTCACATGAGAGCCAGGCAGGTGGGAGCTACACCTGCACTGCTAGCACTTCTTCCCATCCTTTGCTCCCTGGCTGTAGCACTGGTGCAGCTTTCAGCTGCTGGGGAGCTGTGCTGCAACCTACTGCCACTTCTCCCACACCACCTACCTCCAACTGGCTGCAGTGTGGACATAGGTGGAAGCTGGCTTAGTTCCCCATGAGCTGGAAGCTGTACTGGAAAGCACAGGGAGGGGAGAAGTGGCAGCAGTGCAGATGCAGCTTCCAGTCACCTAGCTCAGCACAGCTCCTCGCTGTCTAGCCCCCTGTGGTTGCGGGCACAGACAAGCCTTCTGGCTCCACAGGCCACATCCACTGGCTCCACAGGCTGTATGTTGCTGATCCCTGGTATAGGTAACATTAGTTCTATTGTGTTTTTATTCAGATTTCTTAGGAGATATACTGTTAGTTCGATTTCATTCAGCTACTAAATGGTAGGGGTGTGCAAAGTGGGCTGTATTCGATTCGGATTTGGCCCAATTCAGGGGACAGTGATTCCATTTGTTGATTTGAATCACTGTCCCAATTCGATTCAGCTGAATCCGAATCTGAAGATTTGATGCTGATTTGGATAATCAGCGATTCGGCGACAGACGCAGCTTTAAATATTTTTTCTACATACCTCGAGGTACCAGGAGCAGCTTGTGAATGCTGAGATGGTGGGGCAGATGGAGCATCTCACAGTAGTGCAGGGTCCTCCCATGTGCTCAGCAGCGGAACCAGAAGTGGACCGGAATTAATTCCAGTCCACTTCTGGGTCTGCCTCTGAGCACGTGGGGGACACCCCCCCCGCCCTGCCCCTCCGGCTCGACGATCAGCATTGGGAGGACCCTGGGTGCTCCCAGACCCAGGAGGCACCAGTTGCTGAGCTGGGCGGCTGTGGGGGAGGTTCTCCACGTGCTCAATGGTGGACCTGGAAGTGGACCAGAAGCACTTCTGGGTCTACCACCAAGTGTGCTAGGGACCCCTCCACGCTCCCATGGGATGCTCCATCCGCCCCAGCATCTCAGCATTCACAAGCCGTCTGATACCTTGAGGCATGTAGAAAAAAACATTTAAAGCTGTGTCTATGTCCAAATCATCGAATCTTTCTGAACCAATTTGGAAGGTTCTGATTTGATTCTGAGAGATTAAAGGGTCTCCTGATTCAACTTGGATGCGAAGATTCGGCCGCCAAATCGGGCCAAATCTCTGCTGAATTGAATCAGCGTCCGAAGCTTCGCACAGCCCTACTAAATGGAGTGGACAGCTGATTCATCTCATTTTACTGTGATTGCTTTGATATTACTCAGCTAGAAATTTTAAATGCAATTATGATAGTTAAGAATCCTCACTTTTCAAAGCTGCATTACAGATGGTTACCTGAATCTTTTTGATGCCATTATACAATATCTATGTACAGACTGCAACAAAAAGAAATGTGGCTATAGACATACAGACATACATACATACATATGAAAGATATATGTTCAGGAAAAAAGAAAACAAAACACTTTCCCTAATATTTTAGCATTTACCCCTAAATGTTAAGAGCATAACAACTTGAAATTGGTAGCAATTGTTTTTAAATGTTCTTTGTTTTCTCTCCTTACCCAGCTCTATCTGAGTCACCTATATGACAGTTTTGTCTTCCTGGATTGGAGCTTACCTGTACTAGAAAAGTTGCAATGATTTAAACTAAAGCTTTGTCTACGTGGAAAGAATCACAAATTTAATTAAGGACAGACAAAACAATTTTACCAACTGAAAAGAATGGAAAGCGAGGATTAGTTCCTTTTCAACCTGCTCTCCCTGAACACCTACAGTCTATTAAAAAAATCCAAAATTCTCTGATAAAAAATCCAAAATCTATGATTAGAACTTGCAAAATTTCCATTTTTTTTGTGATTAAAATGAAACACCACTACATTTATCTCTCTCTCTCTCTTTCTGTTGAACACAATATTTTATTGATACATTTACAATTTTAAAGCAATTTGGAAAACTACCAGTGCCTCAATCATTATAATAAAATAAATTCTAAATACCTGTATTTGTTGGCATTTGACTTTTTTTTTTTTAATCATGGAAAATTAGAGCTCCCCCTGGCCCCTTTGCTCATCAGGATGCAGGTCCAGCTATAGCTGTTCCCCCACTGCTTTATGGCGCTGAGAAACCTTGATATGCCAGTGCCCCTTACTCCCAAGCCACAGCCCCTCAGCCCTGCCAGTGCCCCTCACTCCTGACCCACAGTCCCTGCCTGCATCCTGTCACTCTCTCCAGGCAGCAGCTCCCCCCCTGAACCAAGATGCAGGTCCAACTGCAGCTGTCACCCATACTGCTTTGTGGTGTCGAGCAGCCCTAACATTCCAGTGCCCTGCCTCTACCCCTACCATGCCGTTGCCCCTCGCTCCCAAGCCACAGACCTCCAAGCCCTGCGAGTGCTACTGTGTTGCGCAATAGACATACAGACATACATACATACATATGAAAGATATATGTTCAGGAAAAAAGAAAACAAAACACTTTCCCTAATATTTTAGCATTTACCCCTAAATGTTAAGAGCATAACAACTTGAAATTGGTAGCAATTGTTTTTAAATGTTCTTTGTTTTCTCTCCTTACCCAGCTCTATCTGAGTCACCTATATGACAGTTTTGTCTTCCTGGATTGGAGCTTACCTGTACTAGAAAAGTTGCAATGATTTAAACTAAAGCTTTGTCTACGTGGAAAGAATCACAAATTTAATTAAGGACAGACAAAACAATTTTACCAACTGAAAAGAATGGAAAGCGAGGATTAGTTCCTTTTCAACCTGCTCTCCCTGAACACCTACAGTCTATTAAAAAAATCCAAAATTCTCTGATAAAAAATCCAAAATCTATGATTAGAACTTGCAAAATTTCCATTTTTTTTGTGATTAAAATGAAACACCACTACATTTATCTCTCTCTCTCTCTTTCTGTTGAACACAATATTTTATTGATACATTTACAATTTTAAAGCAATTTGGAAAACTACCAGTGCCTCAATCATTATAATAAAATAAATTCTAAATACCTGTATTTGTTGGCATTTGACTTTTTTTTTTTTAATCATGGAAAATTAGAGCTCCCCCTGGCCCCTTTGCTCATCAGGATGCAGGTCCAGCTATAGCTGTTCCCCCACTGCTTTATGGCGCTGAGAAACCTTGATATGCCAGTGCCCCTTACTCCCAAGCCACAGCCCCTCAGCCCTGCCAGTGCCCCTCACTCCTGACCCACAGTCCCTGCCTGCATCCTGTCACTCTCTCCAGGCAGCAGCTCCCCCCCTGAACCAAGATGCAGGTCCAACTGCAGCTGTCACCCATACTGCTTTGTGGTGTCGAGCAGCCCTAACATTCCAGTGCCCTGCCTCTACCCCTACCATGCCGTTGCCCCTCGCTCCCAAGCCACAGACCTCCAAGCCCTGCCAGTGCTCCTGTGTGTCCCAAGTTCTGCCATCCCCCAGCCAAGGGAAGCCTGGCAGCAAGTAGGGCAGGTGGGAAGGAAGACAGTGAAAGAGGAAGAGGGAGTGGGACGCAGCAGGGACTACCCACAGGGCCAGGTGGGGTCTGCTCCCACCACCTTTTAACCCCTACTGAATGGGGACCACTGCTGCTTGCCTGCTGCCCCCACACAAGTCCCTGGCCCATTGTCTCTGTCATGATTCTCAGATTATCAGGCCCAACCCTCTCCCCCTTGGCACAGGGCTTAGGGTTTTACAGCCTTTTTTGCAAGCAGCATATTGCAGGCTGAAACTCTGCCAGCCTGCAAAGAGCTATTTGTGAAGGGAAAAATCCATGTTTTTCTCCTTCAAGGGGGCAAAGCTGCATTTGTCTCTGTGAAAGGGGAAAATTTGTGTTTTTTCCCCAAGGGAGGGGGCGGGGGAATCAGTGTTTTTCTATAGGAACGAGAATACCTGGATCCCTGGTCATAAGTTTTGTGGGTCTGTACAGGCTCACAATAAGTTTCCACCATGGAACACACCATAAACATTTAGCAGCAATTCAATATTGCTATATTTTGTGTATGTTTATCTTCCCTTACTATGCAATGGGACCAGATACACAAAACTGTTACAAATTATCAGCTGATGATGGTGATAAGTTCCCCATCTCCTGGTATAATTGTTTCATTTGTCTACAGCCTAAAACTGTTTAGAAATTCAATCTTCTTTTGTGAAGGGACCTATTTAGTTTAAGAGTACACTATATTGATTTTGTTTAAGTCAGTTTCTGAGCAACTTAAGTTGAATTGATCTAAAGCACTCAAACCAGTGTCTAAGCAAAATAACCAGTTTCTAAATGGGCATAGTTAAATTGGTATAATTTTCACAGCCAAGCTCTTAATCAACTTAAAAACGATCTCGCTGAATCATTACAAAACTCACATGTAGACATTTTAACCAGTGCTTTAATCACTTTAGTTTTCATCTTTGCATTAAATTTATCTTTGTAAAAGGCATGTATCATTTTAATTTCATTTTAAAACAGATTAATTAAATGAACAAAACTTTTCCAATATAGAATTATTGCACTTGTTCTGCATGTACTTTTACTGTCTTTAATGAGTGTAAGCAAAAATTTAGAAGTTACATGAAATACTGATGCCACTTATTCAGCTAATGTATCTCAACAGAACTACACAGACAATCTTTTGCTAGTATCCCATTCCGAAACATGATTGATACAGAAAGAAAATTCTCTGTGTACAGAGACCCACCCATTCTGCACAAGTATCTGCTGCTAAACATTCCATTACAGAAGCACAGTTTATGTTGATTTTATTCAATTTATTCATCAATGGAAAAGATTGGTGACTCTTCAAATTTTCATAAGCAGTTTACTACAAAACCAGTAAGTACTTGGCTACTTAAAAATATTTTAAGTGTAGAATGTGTGTGTTCCACAAAGATAGCCATGTTTCCTTAAGATTTAACTAGCTGAAATGAAAAATCATTGCATTGACTTTCATAGCAAAACACAAAACCTCCCATTTCTCTTTTTTTCCCTTAGTTGTAATGTAAAGGTGGACTACTTTACTTAAAATACTCTTGTTTTGCTAGTTACAGAACATTAGATCCCTGAGCTGCACATGAGGTGCACCACTGATTCCCACTCAGAGCTGACACCTATCCGATGCCTTTCTCTCTCTGCCTAGGGACAGATATTCAAAAAGCCTAAGCCTAAATTGATTCAATCTTTGCAGGTTAGTCTAACCCAGATAGGATAAACTGGTTTATAACTACAGAGACGTGTCCTCTGGACTGAGAAAATGTAGGCACATGCCTGCAGTTGCTCAGGCTAGAAGCCGGGGTGCACTAGAACAGGCCTTCCTTCCCTTCCATGGTATTGAGCTGACAGGGAGGGGCATGGCCAGGCCCCAGCAGGATTCTCTGATTAGGGAAGGGTTCCCCCCACCTCACTGCTCCTTACCAGCCCAGAAGGAAGTTGATAACAAAGGATTTATCAGCACAACAAAACAAAAGAAAAGTTTCATGTTCAAGTTCAAGCTCTTCTTATACAACTTTTTCCAAGGAAGGAAAGGAGGGACACTAACAGCTACCTATTGATTAGCTCCAAAAAGCCCTAAGTGGACACTGTCTTGTCTGCCTTTGCCCTGTCTGCCTTACACTGATACCTCTCAGCATTAGCTAGCATACCACATATGGGCTATGGTCGGTGCTGTGGGAGAAGGGGGCGGGGGGAATTCCTGCTTGAGCAGGGAGTGATTGCCTGCCGTTTCTGCTGGAGCTCCAGCTAGAGAGCTGGGGGGCAGGGCCACCCCTGCTGGGGTGAAGCAGAGAGCCTCGCCCAGGGCTGTAAAGCATCTGGGATGCCAGGGGGCTCTGGCTTAAGTTAAAACATGAAGGGGTCTGGGACAGACATCGCATAAACTGGTTTGAACCAAATCAGTTAAGTCTGATACTACATTCAGCCAGGTTTATCTCAGACCAGTTTCAGCCATTTTCAAACTGGTTTATGTGCACTGAACATCTGTTCTGTTACAGGTTTAAAAGAATTTCTGATCACTTAAAACGGTTTGTGTGTAATGTCTGTTCCTAGCCTCTTCAGATATGAGAAATGGGAGCCAGCATGCTCTACTCTTAATATTCTAATTCCAAAGTCAAATGACACTTAACATCGAAGACATGTTCACATTGAAACCAGTAGCAAGGCGGTGTGCTGGAAACTAGCTGAAAGTTGGAGAGCGTTCCCTTCCTTTATTTCACTGTGACTCTGATTTTTTAATTAAGAGAAGAGGTAGCTGGCCAGCAAATATACAAACCATCTTTCCCT